GGTGTGCATTTTGATATATTTACCGTCTTTACTGCTGTAGTTGAATATAAAAGAGGAGCAAATGTCTGCTGCATAATGGATGTATATTTTAGTTTAGTGTTTGTGTAGTATGTGGACATTAATTCTGCTTTGTAAATATAAGGATGGCATAAAGTTTGAGTCACGCCTTTCTAAAATTGAGATTTTGTAAGTAAAAAATGTAAACTTTTGAAAAGCTGCCACATAAGTGCATGATTGTGCTCTCCTCATGCTTATGCAAGCTTTGCGACACTGAAGTCATAGCTTAAAGCATTGGGTATGTAGAACACTGCATGCAGTGGGAGGATGGCATTCCATGTCTTTAGACTTTAAAATGAAATCTTGGCGGTTTCTATAAAAAATGTAAAAGAAGCAGTCAAATTTGATTTAGTAGAAATGTTTATGGATTACAGTTTAGAATAGAATTTCCAGAGGTTTAGCAGGCTTTTACTAAAAACTAATTGAGATAATACTAATTGAGCCTAGTAAGAGCTCACATTGGTGGATTTCAGTTTTCCTTGCCTATGTCGGTATAAGTCAACTTGGAGCACAAATCGCATTGATCTCATTTTTTGAGTGACTAAAATAGAGTGAAGTATATTTCAAAATTGCATGGATAGCAAGTTTAAAGCAAATGGTTTTTATTTGATAAATGTGGACTAGGTAAATAAAACCAATCTGCAAAGACATACTTTTATTTAATGTGAACAGATTCTCACTTGTACGACCAATTTATACAGCCAGGCATTAACTGGTGCAATCTGAGTGAAGTGCCTTGCTCAAGGGTCCAACAGCAGGGTCTAATCCAGGTTTGAACCCAAAGCCATCTGGTCAGGTGTCCAGGGCCCTTATCAGTACTCTGTGCTCCTGCCAGCTGAGAAGAGGCATCAATACAATCAATGCATGACTGTACTTCAGAAACAGGGTAACAAGATGCTCAGGAAAAAAATCCTTCTTAAAGCTTAAAATTATTGACCTAAAAGGTTTAACCTTTGAATGACCTGACTTGTTTTTGTTTGTGTTAAAAGAACGAATAAGTGCTTGTACAGTATATTGTAGAAATGCTTACTTTGATAGAAAATTATCTTGAGAATGTTTTCACTATTGTGGTACTATTCACAGACAATGGGTCTAGACACCCATGTGCAGTGTATGAATGTTAAATATTCAGAAGTTATTAGGTTGTCAAGTGTGCAGATAGTTTTGTTATAACATAAAATGATCAGTTGTATGCATTTCCCAAGAATGATCGAGATACATTTATAGAATAGTGATTCGGCTTCAATGACTCGCAAATTCAATAAGAAGAAATGTGGTAAAAATCAGGATTTTTGTAAAATCAGGAGTATGCACCTAGAATGTAGTAGAGATTAATTTATTTAATGGCAAACAATTCACATCTGGCTCTTTGGGATAAAACTCTGGCCAGTGTCCACATCTATTCTGCTCTTTCGACACTCAGATTTCAGTACACGCAATTTGTATAAAACGTAATCAAAGTATATGCTATGAAATGCCACTGTAGCATGCACTCTACTGTAGCTGAAAAGAAAATAACATACGTCTGCATGGCTACTTTTAAAGTTGCTCTAATGTTTGGGGAACGCAAGAGAATTAGTTCAGTGTCACTGAAGGGTTAAGACCATTGTCGAAAAACTGTTCAAGGCAGATCATTGCCTGAAGTTCAATGGGGCCAAATTATTTTAGTTAAAATTGTAGAAAATAATTTGTAACAACTACTGACTTAGGTTTGGACATATTTGTGAATGCTAAGGATTTACATAGAAGTGAATCCTAAAGCTGTTTTAAAGCTCTGTAAATTGACTTTTACTGTGTACCTTGTTTTTATTGTGGCCACCAGAGAAAATGGGGTAAATATGTCCTACATATTTGCAGTCGGGGAAAAAATGTTGGTTGTAACAGCTGTTATTTTGAATGGCCTCTTCTCATTTGTAGCCATTCTGTAGCTTAATAATTTAAGGTTTTTTGACCGGTTTTAAGAAAATAAGTTTAGTTTTCTTAGATGACTTATGAAGAGGGATGTAGTCTGTAGAAATAGAAGGAATAGCAGGTAACAGTCGTTGTAAGTAACTACAGGAAGTACTTTTAAAGTCACTAATGAGGGCACATCTTTGCTCAAAGGGTTTTAAGGATATGGTTTGCGTACTGCGCCATGTTGTTGGCTGATACCTGAAAAAACTGGACGAGTTCCTTGCATGAATCAGTTTCAAGTCAAGTTGGGCTGAAGGGCCTCCCTTTTGTTTGTGACCATTTTTATGTTCTACATCGATTAGCTTTGGGTAAAGAAAAAATCAGTGTAATTTACATTTGAGTGTTGGCTGAGGGATCCTCACTGAGGAGCATACAGGCTGTAAAAGGAGGAGGGACATCCCACGTGCTGTGTTACCTGCTTAGATGACCTGTGGTACATCCTTAGGAGCAGCGTTGGGTCTTGAAAATATAGCTTTATTCTGAAACAAGCTTTCATTTGCCATATAGGCAGTAACTTTTATGTGGTCAAAGTAAATCTCCTGAATTTCATTAACATGTAGGAGTTTGGCAAGTATATATTAGTTTGGTTTTGTTTTCATGTGGACTACATTTGCCAAAAGAAAGTAAAATGGTTTTAATTTGGCTTAATTGTAAATGATGAAAGTCCTCGATTTATTTAGTCATTCATTCTGTCTCACTCGGAAAAGATTTAAATCTTATGTATTAAAAAATTTAGGAGTGGTAAGCTTAAGACATGCAAGTATTTTAAGACTAACAACTTTTAAGGCGGCATCACTGATTTCCCTAGAAATTCCCTCCTAAACTACCATGTGTGCTGTTTTTTGCTTTAGTCCTGAAATTGTGAATGCTTTAAGGTTTGAATCCACTCCTCCCACAAATAATAAGATGCATGTTCCAATAAGTTGATACTAAAACACTTTGTCACTTTTGTTCAATTGTTTTTATCATTATATTCATCTCATTTTATTTTTAAGGCAGAAACCAGCCACGTAGCAATGAACAGTTGTTCATTTGACTGTTGTGTGACCCTTTATTATTTGTAAAACTTTTGAGTTTGTCTGCTGAGTTTAATATTACCATAAGCTTTATATTTCAACATTTCCCTCAGAACTACTGTATCTGTGCCAGTCTGATTGAAGTACTTAGCAGATTTCCTTTAATGGACAGACATAAATTTAACTGCCAGTGAAAGATGATTTTATTTTTAAATGCATTTTGTTAAATGATGTGTTTAATGTCTCATTAAACAGCAATTGTCCAACAGAGTCCTACTGAATTATTTCAATTTATGTATTTAGTTAATTTGTTCATTACATGGTTGGGGTTGTTCCTCTTCAATAGCCCTAACATCATATTGGTTTGCATTTTGATCCAGTTCATACAGTACAATCAGTGTGGCATAGAATACCCTTTTGTCTTAACATGCTAAAATTCCTTTGTTTTAAGGAAAATAAAATAATGTTTGGCATTATATTTCCAGTATTTGAAACCTAATGTAGCTTTTTTTTGACAGTGCTGATTGCGGTCTGCACTATTCCTTCTGCACTATTCTTCATAAAATTGTATAAGTGGTTCTGTTCTTTTTTGTTCATGCAGGTGGCAGCACTTCAGGAGGAGAAAAGTAGTTTGCTAGCAGAAAACCAGGTTCTTATGGAACGACTGAACCAGTCGGACTCCATCGAAGACCCCAACAGCCCCGCAGGAAGGAGACATCTACATCTCCAAACCCAATTAGAACAGCTCCAAGAAGAAACCTTTAGGTACGCTGGTGTACAGTATCAGTATGTACAGAAAGGTGCGATTTAGTACACTGTGTTTCTTTGAGTTACTGATTTGTCATGAGGAGCCAGCTGCAGTATCCTTGGTAACTGAGCGCACTAAACTGGTGAGCAGTATGTGATGCATGTACCGCAGAGCCAGTTTATGTTCCCGGCACAGGCAGGTTACTTTCACACCTGGAGATATTCAAAAGAAAAAAGAAGTCGCTAATGTATTCGTGTTGATTTCCCTCGCTTTATTGAAGTTACCTCTGCTCATCAGATTGAAATGTCTGGGGCTCCTCAGAGTCCTACAGCACTGGTATCATTTCCTGATTATCGTCTGTACTTCAGTGGGGAAATACAGGATATGGGGGACTGAGGCTGTGGGACCCTTGTCTCCTCTCAGTCTGTTTCTCTCACATGCATTACAGATATGTACTTAGACACTGTTAATGTTGCACTTGCCAATCTGTCCTGCTTGTCAGTGCAGGAATACAGTTTAAAATCCACATGGAAGTCGGAAAGTGTTGGGTTCTAATCTAGGATTATTATAAAGATGTGTGAAACTGAATTTTTTATATTGCGCTACTTGAAATGTGACCTGGTTTTGGCTCTAAATCATCTAAATGTTTTTTTTTTTATTATTGACTGCTGCGTTCCCTATGAATAGTGTACTTTAGTTGTTTCTCCTCATCAGGGTTGAACAAAGCTGTGACATCTTTAATGCAGTGTTAAAATGAAACCAGCTGTAGCGCATTCCTGTAAATTATGGAAGTGTCACTTGACCCATTGCAGCCTCAGCAAAATCTGTTATTGAACTTCCCCTTTGCCATAGGCCCTGTTAACTTAATTTGGCATTTAGACAGATTAAGCACTGTAAATGCAATTAATGAACTTTGTAATTGCAATTACTTCTGATCCAGTAATTAATATTGGAAGAATATGACAGATGTGTGCCAAGACTGAATCTTGATGCTGTGTCATGAGTATCAGTCATCACCCTGTTCTCCTTCCCACTGAGAGCTGGTGTGTGGTGCGTGTACTGGTGCACTATGGCTGCTCTCATACATGGTGCCGCAAACTTGAGACCTGCACACATTCTCTCCCGATTTGCATCCCCTTGCTTTTAGTCTTTCATGCCTGCATGGAATTAAACGTCTCAATTTGGGTTAATTGCCAGCATTCTTCTGTGGGACTCCGTTAGTACATTTAAGTGCTTTTTGTGCTTTTTACATTTTATTTTTTAGCATTCTTGGATATAGCTGAAGACATATTGAACTGTTCTTATCTGAAGTAACCTATCAGCTATTGGTCTCAGCTGTTGTTTGACAGGAAAATAAGGCTGAGAAACAAGGAATCTGTAGAAGTCTTATCACCCATGCCTCTATGTCCACTACTTCCCTGTTCATTTATTAACCGTACTGTTTCAATCTGTGAATCTTTCCAGTGTTTTTGTCTTAGATCGGAAGTAAGTGTAGGTTTGTGCAAGTTGTGCCTTTTCCTTTCCATTTTCAAATAATAAAAATATAAAAGTCGTTATAATTGGGACAATAACAAAAATTCAAATAAGTATTTGAAAGTTGTCCTGGACTTGCAGGTTAGAGGCAGCCAAAGATGATTATAGAATACGCTGTGAAGAACTGGAGAAAGAAATCTTGGAACTGCGAGGGCAAAATGAGGAGTTGACCTCTCTTGCAGATGAAGCACAGTCTTTAAAGGATGAAATGGATGTTCTTAGGTAAGATCTGCTGTTCGATGTTTATATTATGATATAGTGATGCAAATCATCTAGAACATTATAATAACTCAAGGTAAACTAACAAAGAAGTGCCAAAGAAGGCTCTGCTGCCAAAATGTGGTTTCTCATTTCTACTTCTCAACATGGAATTAACCTTTACTTGTTGTGCCAATGTGCCCTGACCTCCCCTTAAAGAAGGAAGAGCACTGACTGAAGAGCAGAAATAGTGGAAAAATGTTGATTCAGACATTTGCCCAGGAGTGTACAGTATGTAGCTTTGAGAAATTGTTGCAATCCACAGCTTTTTTTTTTTAAATCTTCCATTAACACTTAAATTCCATATTCTTAACTGTCGTCTTATTGTAAAGACGGGTAACTATGATCATTTCATAGTGAAATGTGTTTTAACAAGAGTCTTTCACTAAAATCTGAAAATCTAAGTACTTTTTCTTGAAGGGGAACTGCAAAGCATATTTTGGGGTTAGTTAGAATCGCCATTGATGCATGCATTTCAAACACAAACCTCCAGTTTACATCACAAAACATGCTAAATTTCCAAGTTTTACACAGCACCTTGTTCTGTGATTCAGAACGATGCAACGAATCTTCCGACCATGTGTTTCGCCCTTATTACATTGTAAGAAAAAAAACTAATAATCTAATATTGCTTTCCATTTAACGATGGTTTTGCTGACAAATACTACTAACTTGTTAGCTCTCCATGCAGATCACGTTGGAACATTTCTGCAGTGAAACGTCTGCTGCACAACCTAGACTTATTTGCTTGTACATAACATTAGGCATTAAGGTGACTAGTGAGTAGGAAGGCCGCATCATGTAACAGTTTGTGAGAATTTGAGTGCGAGTTTGCAACAACATGACGACTAACAGTACTTTCACAAAGGTCACGAATCTGTGATTAATTAGAAATGTGTCACTTTTTTCTATAACGTCAATGAATTTATTTTGTTACCGAGATTTAACAACCGGTCTGAGAAATTGGGACTGCAGCTCCCCTTTAATAAGCTTCGGTGTTCAGATTGTTGAGCACTAACACTGGCCTGCTCTCTGGTCTGCACTCAGACATTCCTCCGACAAAGTGGCCAAGCTGGAGGGGATGGTGGAGTCGTATAAGAAAAAGCTCGAGGACCTGGGAGACCTGCGGAGGCAAGTGAAGCTGATGGAGGAGAAGAACACACTGTACATGCAGAACACTGTTGCCCTAGAGGAAGAGCTGAGGAAAGCGAATGCATCCCGCGGCCAGCTGGAGACCTACAAGAGACAGGTACCATACCATAACCACGCTGTCTCTCTGTAATGATATGAAGGAAATAATTGATTCCGAATATATATTCGTAATATATAATATTCGGCCTGGCAAAGTAGCAGTTTTAAAAGTGGTAGTTTTAAAATTATGGTATTTCAGATTGAGAACACAATTTTCTGATGTGGTCTGCTCAGACAGCAAAGAGAATAGACACAAGGATTGTATAGGACTTTAGAAGCCTAACACATTCACAGTCTTACCACTTCTGTAACTGCTAGCATAATGCTTTGTTGTTTTTTTGTTTCAGAGTGAGCATAGTTTAATGTTTTTTTAAAGATATACAGTTGTTTTTGAACATATAACCAGTGTTAGAATTTCATTTTTTATTTTTAAAATTCCAAAATTAAATATTTAATATTTAAATATTAAATAAGTTAACCTTAGAGTCAATCGGTGTTCTTACTATTTGAAAATCAAAAATGATCTTAATAAATTAAACTTCTAGTTAGAAGAAAGTATACCAGTTTCTTCAGTAATGATGTAAGAAGCAGCAGAAGAAGAACATGATTTGTAGCTTTTGACGTCTAAACTAATAAATGTTTTCCCTGAGTCAGACTTACAGAGTACATAGTCTGAACTTCCATCTCTGTGATTTCAACACTCAGATCTCTTTACAGGCAAAATGTGACATTTATGTAGCTATTTCTGTGCCGGCTGTGCATCTCATATTAAACTTTGGATGCAGCAATATTTTTGCAGTTCATCTTTAACAAGATTTGTGAAGTTATATTTCTAGGTTCTCCTCAACCACTGCATTAGTCAAATTGTTTGTGCATTGATTGAATACAATTTAAGTTTTGCAAAAATAAAAAACCTGGGGTTTATTTTTTAATGTAGGCTAAATTGTGAAACTCATTTACGTTACATACGTTTTTTCCAAAGCTCTGCAACACAGTGGTTTGCCTCCATGATATTAACAGGTGTGCTTCATCTATGAGAAAAATAAAAACAAAAATGAATATACTGTCTCTTAAAAATGTTTCCTGTTGCTAAAAGTATACATTTTCCTGACAGGAATGTGCATATTTTGCAAATTTTCGTTTTGGTTAAAAAAGGTTTTCTTTTTCAATTTTTTCTGTATCAGCTCTTCAGAGTTTATTAAATAGTAGAAGTTCTCATAAAGGAAAATGCAAGTCATTTGAGTTCTATACAATTGTAATTTTTTGGATGCTTCATTGCTTTGGAAGCTTTACAATACAGTACATTCATGCATACCTGGGCTAATATACAGAGTGTTCACAGTAAAATACCAGTAGAGTATATCCAATTTTCCAATGCTTCAACAAGAAAATACTTGAAAACTAAAGATATTTCAGTATATGGTTAAGTTAGGTAGGCTAATGGGGACATGTGACAAAGAGGGGAAAAAAACGTTCATGTTATGCCATGCTTTCCTATAATACAAATCCGTTCCGGAACTCGAGGGAGAGATGGGCAAGATTGAGTGAAAGTTCATTCAGTTCATTTGAATGGAATGGCAATGTTTGACTCCCTTTGCCTTCTTCCTACAGGTGGTAGAGCTCCAGAACAGGCTGTCCGAGGAGTCAAAGAAAGCCGACAAGATGGAGTTTGAGTACAAAAGATTGAAAGAAAAAGTGGATTCACTCCAAAAAGAAAAAGATGTAATGCTTATATATTTGTATTTAATTCATAATCTTTTATACATTATCCATATAGGTATTACTGTGGAAAATAATTTTGGTGTCTAAACAATTTTGGTTCATACATGTTCTAAAGAATACCGGTTTTAATCCGTTTCAGAATTTGTTTTTACACATGCAAATGCGTCTTCACAATTGTACACAGTTGTTGAAATTGTACAAGTCATGGTTAATTCAATATGCAGAATGTGGTCAAATAGTGACATGCCCTATAATTTGCTAGCAGTGCGATTCCTTTTCATATAAAAAAAAATGATAATAACAGTTGAATGATTTTGATGTTTTGGTTGTTACTCAGTAATTTTGATGGGAGTCATACATCCTGTCAGACTGTTTAATTCGTTAATAGCTCTCATGAATAAACAAAGGGAACAAACAAACTTGCTTTTTAAAGCCATCTTTCAGCTTATGTAATTATATTGCATGTTTCTATCCCTGGCACTGTTGACTTCCATACGTGTATTGCAGAAAATATATTTAGCTATACAGGAATTTTACAGATTCCATCTACTGTACATCCATCATCTACTTTCTTTTAATAAGGATGTTAGACAAGGTTTTAGTTTTGTTGTTTGTTTTTTTTAAGCAGGGGGAGCAATTGGACAATATCTGAAACATACTCTTTTTATTTTACTATGAGAAAGTCTGTTATGTTGTTTTCCTTTCCCTTGATTAATTGTAGTTACTGTGTATCACCAGTTTAATTGCATTGTTTACTATGTAGTTTAACATTACATTTTCCCAGAATTTTTGCAGAGGGCTGTAAAAGACATGCTTTGAAATTAACCTGGACATATAACAGCCAATTTGAACTTTTTTGTACCCTGACCACAGTTTTATGTTTATTAACTAGGGATTTAGATCAATGCCTTATGTTGAAATGTGAGGGTATTAAATAGTTCTACATTTTCCATGGTTTGTGAATCAGTGAGTGCCCAATCTTATGTAAAAGTCTTCTGTATTAGTTTTTTGTACAGAAATATAACAAAAGAGATGGTCATCTGGCATTTTGTTTTGGAAGACTTGTGGCAGTATTTGTCCTAGTTTCTCTCCTTCTTTTATGTCAAGCTCACAGTGTACCCTTGTCCCCCCTTAACATCAGAATGCTCAGCTGTAATCTGATTGTGGCCAGCCTTGAGTGATCTTGTAGCACTGGAAATCAACAAACATATCTTATCTGCCCTTCTGACAATAAGCTTTTTACACCCAACGAACCTATGTTAATCCTGATGAGAAGTACAACATCAAGTTCTCAGTGTCCAGTTCAATCTCAAGTACAGCCTGGTCCTATTAGGTCCCTGCTCTATACAAGTAACATTATAGAGCAAGAAGATACATCTCTAAAGAAGGAAAGCTTGTTTATTGCTCAGTGCAGGTTACTTTTCTTCTCAAAAACAGGTAAATAAATTATAATAAATGAAAGGACAGAATGTATTTTCCTTAACTCTTGTAGATAGGGTAAATATGGCACACCTATCATCCTGACCAAAACTCTTGGCTTGCTTGGGATTAGATGCCAAGAAATGCTTGTCAGATCCCGTGATATTAAATTATGTGCAGTGAAGCATGAGGGGTTGCTGTAGGACAAAGATAAAGACATACAAATTTCAGAGACGAAAAAGGAAATTGGGAGTCAGAATTTAACATGACCAGTGGTGGATGTTAAATGCAACAGTTGTTTCTATCCTTGATCATCAGCTGTGAGGTTTTGGTCCATTTTGAATATGTGGCTTTCTTGTGCTCCTAGCGTTTGCGAACAGAGAGAGATTCTCTAAAGGAGACTATTGAGGAGATACGATGTGTACAAGCACAAGAGGGCCAACTCACAAGAGGTGAGATAATCAATAGATAATCAATATTTGATTGAATAATTTAACCTGTACTAAAGGTTCTTATCTAAAATGTAATACAAGCAACATTTGAAGAACATAAATTGATGAAACGTGAAACTGCTTAATATCCTTAATTAAGGACATTATATATATAAATAAAACTAACTTATGTTTATATAAAACATAATTCATATATATATAGTGTGATAAATATAACCCTTTTTATATATAAAACATAACTTTTTATTTTTCACTATATATAGTGATAGGACATTAGGTGTGTTTTTTCTATAAAATACAGTCCCGATTAAGAGAGGCACTCTTTTTGGACACTTATATATATATATGGAGTCGCAAAAGGAACTTATCACTAGTAACTGCTACAAATTTATAGTTATTGGGGAAATTACAATCCCCATTTGTTGACTCCCCACTGACATTTTATTGAACAGACAAGACCTTGTTCATCACGTTGATTAACACTTGTCATCAAGTAGCAAGTTGGACCATTGTTAGAAGCAATACAGACTGCACATCTGTGTGTTGCAGATGCGGCCTTGTGGTATTCTTTCCTATTCCTCTTGTAAAACCTAAATTTTTCATTGCTACAGGACTCGTGCCACTAGGCAGCAATGAAGCTTCTGACTGCTTGGCAGCAGAAATTGTTACTCCTGAAATTCGGTAAGCGAAAGAAATGCATCAGGCTTTCAAACTAATGTTTACCATTCTTCAAAATTATTAGCTGCAGAACCCCTAGCCCCATGAGTCTTATTTCTGTTAACCATGTTTGTTCTGGGTTTTGTTTTTGATTTTTTCTTTTTTTCTTTGAAAACCATGTGCTCATTAGAACAGAGGACTGTAGTAGTGTCCAGGTTACATAATACAGAAGAGGAACCACAGCACTGTGACTAGATTTCCAGTTGTTCCAAGGTGCATCAGCTGAGGTTCAGATGGTTTGCATTATAATTTTGCTATTCATTGTTGCCTGCCAAAACATGTGGAGATGGAAACTAAAAATACGTTTTTTTTTCTTACATATACAATGTGTTGTGGTGGTATTTTTTTCTCATGTCTGTTAACTCTTTAGGTATAGTATTTACCCTCAGCAGCATGATCAGATTACACCCAGTCTGATTTCACTGCACAGCTCTTAAATTGCAAAGATTATAGGCTTTTTCATTTCCTTTTTTGGTGAAATTAGACACCCAGAAATGGTTCTGTGATTAAGGTCTTTTTTCAGCCGACTTCTGTTCTAGCTAGTAAGCTTGAAACTTTGTTTCTACCCGTCATCCACTGCAAGTTTTAATATGACTGAAATTTTTCCAGAGCTTCACTATTGATTTATAATTAAATTGAGCGTACTGTTTTTTATGTTTTTCAGATTTTGAGCACAGTGCTACTGTAAAAACATAGCATCTCACAGTACAAGAATGGACCAGGTTACATCTTCCATGTAGTATGATTTTTGTAAAACAGATGAATATTCCTGTAGAATTAAAGTACACTTTAGGTGTATAGACAAATATGCAAGGCCAGGTGAAGTTAACATGTTAATTCTTCTTCTTGTGGAAAAGTAAAATCAGTAAAAATAGGTTTATTCTTCTGCATCTTTTGTGTCACACAGAGAGAGGCTTATCCGCCTGCAGCATGAGAATAGGATGCTGAAGATAAATCAAGAAGGCTCAGACAATGAGCAGATAGCCCTTTTGCAGAGCTTATTAGAGGATGCCAACAGCAGAAAGAATGAGCTGGAGACCGAAAACAGGTAAGAGTGTGATATAATTGTGTAGGAATTCAGTGCAACTTGAAGATAAATGGAACTTTAATGAACTAGTGGTTAATTTACAGAACTTGGGGTGCTGAACAGGGGAGTTAGCTCAAATAGTTTTCATTATACTATACAAGTAATCATTAGTGATGTACCTCACGCTTCAGTTTCAGAACCATTGTCTTCTTTCACAAAACAGCTGGATGAGATCCTTTATCATTTAGCTGCTAGCTACATAACAGGATAAATGGGCTGAACGGCCTCCTCATTTTTGTAACCTTTCTTCCATTTTGTTCTTAATCTGAAATAGCAGAAATGAACTAACATATCCTCTCTTCACTGATATAAAATAATGTTCCTTCCCTTAAAGATCTGGAGTTATCTCATGAATTCCCCAGTAAATAAGCCATAATGTGGCTTATTCCACGCAGACCGGTTGTTTGTCTTTATATTTAAGTGCTGTGTTGTATTCCTTAGAAATAAAAACTCAGTCTGTGGTCTTTGGTCTTTCATATTCTGAATTTAGTACACAAACATCCAGTAAATAACTCTGTTCTAAAAATAAATTCTCTTAATTTATTTGCTTAACCAAACCTTTTTTGTTTTTCATTCCCTTTCTAGATTAGTTAACCAGAGACTGATAGAAGTACAGTCTCAGGTTGAGGAGCTGCAGAAGTCACTACAGGAACAGGGGTCCAAGGCAGATGATGTGAGTATGAATCCTGTTGGCAGGCCTCTGGTACTTTGCACAGTTTATAACAGAGCCTTGTGATATTGGTCATTTCCACTTTTATTCCTCTCATTACTTAGCTCAGTTTGTCTGTTATGGAATACAGGCATGAAATTACATGAAGAATCCACCAACTTTTGTGATATTTGAGTGTTTGCAATAACAGTACTAATGACCTTAACAGTGCTTGCTGTGTGTATTATGCGTGCATATTTTGCAACTTTTGTTAGTATTCTTCATGTCTAATCTGCAAATGCCTTATCTTTTTTGTCGGGTTTGTTTTTTTTTTTCTGTTAGTGTGGTTAGAGTTGAATAGCATGTTTTTGTCATCATGGATGTGTTTAAACTTATTTGCATAAAGGAATAGTGGAAGAAAGAACTGGCCCCTATTCAAAGCACTAGCTCAGAGCACAGGTTGAGCTTTGTGGTCCCAAGGTTACTTTTGAGCCTGGATGGTATCTCAAGCTGACGAGCTTTGCCTGTCCATGGTTTGGGATCTTGGCTACTGCAGGCTTGTGCTGTTGTCAGTGAGACATGGTGTGCTGCTCCAGACAGCACTCTCTCCTGCCAGGCTCTCTGGGCCTCACAACCCATCAAATGGCAAAGGGCTTTGCAGTTGGGTGTTATTGGAGAACTTCTCAAGTGAGTTCATGAGGCATTGTCAACACTGACTACAATATATATATATACACACACACACACCTCAGGCATTTCAAATCAGGTTTTGTCTTACAAATCTGATGCACATATTCTTAAGTTGTGTATTTTTATAACGTTTCGATTCATAAACCATGCATATTATATACAGTTGCAAGAAAAAGTTTGTGAACCCTTTGGAATTACCTGGATTTCTGCATTAATTGCTCAAAAAAATGGGTCTCATCTTCAACTAAGTCACAATAATAGACAAACACTTAACACTGCTTAAATTAATAACACACAAGCAATTGTACATCTTGTCAATATTGAACACATCGTTTAAACATTCACAGTCCGGGCTGGAAAAAATATGTGAACCCTTGTATTTAGTAACTGGTAGAACCTCCTTTAGCAGCAAAAACCTCCACCAAACATTTTCTGTAACTGCTGATGAGACTTGAACAACGGTTAGGAGGAATTTTAGACCATTCCTCCCTGCAAAACTGTTTCAGTTCATTGATATTTCTGGAATTCCTGCGTAAACAGCTCTTCAGGTCATGCCACAGCATCTCAATCGGGTTGAGGTCTGAACTTGACTTGGCCATTCCAGAACACAATTTTTTTTCCCTGTTTAAGCCACTCTGCTGTTGATTTACTCCTGTGGTAATCGTCAGGTCAGGTCATCGTCTTGTTCCATCACCCAACGTCGATTAAGCTTCAGGTGATGGATCGCTGCCCTGACATTCTCCTGTAAAATTTCTTGATACAATTTTGAATTAATTGTTCCCTCTATGATAGCAAGCTTCCTCCACCATGCTTCATGGTCGGGATGAGGTTTTGGTGTTGGTGTGCAGTGCTTTTTTTCTTCCAAACATAGCGTTGTGCTTTTCTGCCATAGAGTTCAACTTTTATTTCATCTGTTCACAGAGCATTGTCCCAGAAGCACTGTGGAACATCCAGGTGGTCTTTTGCAAACTTGAAATGTGCAGCAGCAATGTTTTTTTTGGAGAGCAGTGGTTTCCTCCGTGGTGTCCTTCCATTAACACCATTCTTGTTCAGTGATTTTCTTATAGTGGACACATGAACAGAGACTTTGGCAGGTTCAGGAGATCTCTGCAGGTCCTTTGCCGTTACCCTTGGGTTCTTTTTCACCTCCTTCAGCATTGCACACTGTGCTCTTGCCATGATCTTTGCAGGACACCCACTCCTAGGGAGAGTAGCAACAGGACTGAATTTTCTCCATTTGTAGATTATTTGTCTTACTGTGGATTGACGAACACCCAGGCCTTCAGAAATGATTTTGGAACCTTTTCCAGCACTATGCATCTCTACAGTTGTTCTTCTAAGGTCCTCTGATATTTAATTTGATCGGGGCATGGTTCACATGAACAGCTCTTGTTTGAGAAGAGCAGACTCTGTCAGTAACCAACCTTTGTGTGCCTTTTTATAGGGCAGGACACCTCCAACCCACACCTCCAATCTCATCTCATCTCATTGATTGGAGCACCTGACTCCAATTAGCTTTTGGAGAAGTCATTAGCCTAGAAGTTCAAATACTTTTTCCATCCTAGACTGTGCATGTTTAAACTATGTGTTCAGTACTGACAAGAAGAAGTACAATTGTTCATGTGTTATTAGTTTAAGCAGATTGTGTTTGTCTATTATTGTGACTTAGTTGAAAATCAGACCACATTTTAATGAGTAATTAATGCAGAAATCCAGGTAATTCTAAAGGGTTTACAAACGTTTGCTTGCAACTGTAGTATGTCATCTACCTTAAAGTACCCTAGTGTTGCTGTCACAGCTGTGACAGATCAGACAAAGCTTTGAAGTTGAAATATGTAAAAATGTGTTGGTGGGATCTGATCTTTTTAATATTCAGCATATGGTTATAAAACATTATGATAAATACAGATGTCTTCTGTGAGTAATTGTGAAGAATTAAGTGAGTGGGAGGTATTTTTTGGATTCAGCAAGGACCTTTCAATTCTGTTACTCGGGCTTTTAAAAATAGATGCAATTCAAACCAGTTTTACTCTAATTCTCATTAGATTTGAACGCTTTGTTCTATATTTGCTCCTTAGCAGGAAAATAATTCTTTTAATTGGAGTATAAGCAGAGGCAGTGGAGGCAGTTCTTTTGTTGTGGATAACATATATTCTAGTTCTGACGTAATGCAGAGAGCAGAGTGTAGTTGTCTGTGGCTGTTCCCTTGACTTCTGTGCTGTTGTTTGTGTTTTAGTGTGGAAGAGGAAAGGCATTTATTTTCATGCACACACTGTGGATACTGAGTCCTGTGTATCTAGAAATCTACACAGAGGGATACATGTTGGTTCCTCCAAAGATGAAAACATGAAGAGGAATGAAAATGCATGTGTGAAAATATCCATTAACATCTTTTTTTTTTTCTGTTAGCCTACTTGATACTTCCTTACATTGTTCCATTCGTCTCTTGGTTGCTGGTTTTGCACATTAATCTTTCTTCTTTTGTCTATTTCTGCGCTTCCTCTCGAGGCTATTGTGAGTATGGCTTGTATTTTAATCACTCTAAGCTCCTAGGACTAAAACTCTAAAAATATAACCCATGGCTTCCTAACATGGCAGTGGATGTCTGGAGTTTCTTGCATCATTTTTTTTATTTCCCTAATCTGCTGAAAAAAGTTCTGAATGGTAGTTTTGTATCAAAGAAAGTAAATGCTTGAAGATTGAGGTGCAGCGCAGATCATTCTATTGCTGTTTCCTACTCCTGTTAGTTATAAGCTTGGTAATTACACATCAGGATGTCATGTTTTACTACTCCTTAGTAGTAAAACTAATACATTAGTGACTTATTTTTTAAAAAAACACTCCTTGATAAATTCAGATGCTAGAGTTAATTTTGTGCAATGACATATGCCTGAATCTATAAACCTATGAGGAAAACATTTTAGTCCTAGAATGAGTTTTGATTTTTTTTTTCCTCCATCTGATTGAAATTATTGGAAAAAATGAAATCAAACTTTGTGGCTCTAAGTCTCATTACATTTATCTCCAATCATCAAGTAGGGCATTGTGCATTAACTAAGAAAGATTAATCTGCTATTCATGTTCTGGGGGAGAAAGAGTGAGCTGTGTGGTTTCAACAGCAGTGCATTAATGAGTCAATATGATCAATTTCATTGTGAAAGGCTGTGAGACTTGCAACTCAGAATACTGGATTTCTAATTACATGGCTAAACTTTCTATAATTCTCAATTTGGTTTGTTGAGATTAAAGTATAGAACTTTACCTTAAAACTGTCATGAAGCATTCTAAATCAAGGATGAGTAGACTACCGAAAACACACGTGCTTCCTCTCGCAGCTGGAAGAACCTGTGAAATAATTTGTGTGAATCAGTATGGCTGCCAGTTTTTTTCCCACCACCTTGCAATATTGAGTAAGCCATTCCAATGAAACACTGCCAATGAATAATTAGGTAATAAAGTAATAAACACAACACCTGCTGGCTGATTATAAATTATCACCAAATACTGAAAGACAAATGAGACTGTTCTAAAATAGATTTGCAAACAAGAGGTCAGTCAAACCCAACCCAACTAAATAAAAACTAAACATTGTATAGCTCATTTGGTTTTTAGTCCATAAATGATCTGAGGATCTCATTCAGCTGTTTTTAGAAAGAAACCATGTTATTGGATTTCACAAAATGGCTGTGTAATTTACAATGAAACCTACCCCTTGATAATGAAACACTAAATTGAGAAACACACAGTGCAGTAATATTTTTATTATATTACAAATTACCCAGATTTTGACTATAGAATCTAAGACTTATACAAATAATATATGTGACCAGACACTAACACAGTGGTATTTGTAAAATCCATCTTCAGTATGTTTTATTGTAGTTTGCTCTCAGGATTTGCAGTCTCCTTTTGTCCCATTATTATTTTTCAGAAGAGATCGGGTATATATGTGTATACATGTACGGTATATTGTTTTACCTCTGTCATAATCTCAGTTTGATAGTATTTCAAACTTCTTTCCTATTTTCAATTTTATTGTATAGCAACAAGTCTGTAGTAGTTTTTAGTAGTTATATTAAATTATAGGGGATACATATATTACTATTCCAAAAATAATGAGAATTATTTTAATTTGTATCGTACTTTATATCCCACATCCTTAAATGTCCCTGATTATTTTGAGTGACTGATTTAATTACTTAAGATTCATTAAATCAATTTCATTGGAGTGGCTTGGTTAATAATGTCTACTTTTTTGGACTGAAAACAAGGCAGCCTGTGAATTTGACAAACTTTAACATCACATGATGTTATCCATGCACTAATGAGAAGTGGTGCATCCAGTATTATATTCTTAAAACTTCTTTGAGCTGCTACTAAATTTTAACTGCAGTGAAACTCTTTTTTTTTCTGGTACATTGTTTAACTGACACTGAAGGTTTGCCTTTTAAAATGCCTTGGTACACCTCATGTATCAGAGCAACTGACTGCTTTTGTGCTGTTGCTTTATTGTGTTCTCTGCTGAAGATTCAGAAATCTTTAACACTGAATTTATCAAATATTATAAATTGTTACAAGAAACAGCATAGCCAGTGTGGTGCTCTATAGAAATGGATGTGCATTGCTCTGCTGACAGAGTACTCTGATGTGCATTTTTATATTAACTTTCAGTTCAGTTCCTTTCCTTAGACATTAACAAGGATTGCAAAGGAGAGTTATTTGGCATCATGCATCAGGCTTGCTTCTTCATGTTTTTGTTAAAGCAGTTGTTTCATAAAGTGAAACTGACCTTAACCTACTCATACCATAAACTATTCTCCAGATTTTTTTCTCTTTACTGATTTGAAATAGGAAAGAGTATCATAAAGCAAGACCCAAATTAGTTTAAGTTCACAGGTCATCCATCACCAGTTGTTAAAACACATATTTTAGTCTGTTTCAGAGTTACATTTTGTGTCATTCCCTAGATTAATTATCTTAAATTGCCATAGGGTAAAAACTTTCGAATCCAGCACTTGCTATATTTATACAAGCTGCTGAGAAATTGGAGGATAGTAGGATCATTTATTTAATTTAATCAAGAATAATCTTCCACTATTAGCTCTGAAAAATTAATTGTATGTCATCAGTACAGTCTACGTTATTAATCCTATTTTGTCCACACTTTCTTCCTGACGTATTCCATCCTGAAGATCATAGCTAATAGAATTCATATGGGCCATCAAGCATGTGTCAAGCAACCTGTCAACTCATCACACTGTTCAAATTAATAGGATGCGATATTTAGATCAGCCAGTAAATTTAAGTCAAGCTCTTGAATTTCCTAGCTTTGCTGATGGATGCTTAAGGTTTTTTTTCATGAATTCCTAGATTGTCCAGAAAAGTCTTCCATGTCTTAAATGCATCTTTTAAAATAGAAGATTTTAAAATAAAACTGGCTTTTATCAGACCGATTTGTTTTTAAATTATTGGCTTTTGGCAACATCTCATTGAACTGTACAACTTTCTAATATGGTCCAGAAATCTGTAATAGAAATATAAAGATATGAGAATTCTACACCACATGTGGCTCTGAGCAAAATCTTTTTAAAATCGACCCATACCAAACAAACTGAATTAAAATTACTGTACTGATGTCTTACCAGCAGAGGGCATCTTGGCAATACAGCAAGCTCTATCTTGAAAAGCAGAGAAAAGATTAAGATACTTCTGTTCCCTAATTTTGCTTAATCTTTTTCCAGTCAATGATTCTGAAGAAGAAGTACGAAGAGCACTTGTGAGTTAGTTTCTTTTGGTCCCAATTTGCCAGCATGTCTCTTTACTATTATATGTATTTGTTTACAGGTTATGGAATAGACTAGACTGAAACAGTAGCAGTAGGTTTTTTAGATACCTTGCTTTCAACTTTCAGTAGTTCAGACTGCAATGGCTTAGTCTTGTAGTCTTGAGGAGAATTTACTGAATTAAGAAAAAAATTAGCCATTATATCATGTATCTGGTCTGTAGCATTCTGATTATTTCTTTAATTAGCAGGCTGTTTATTAGGTCCAATGTGACAAAAGTTACATAGTAAAATCTTCAAGTTTCTGTTTGTGTAGCACTCCTGTGAACTTCTATTAATTTCGGCTCATTGTCTTGATTTTCATTCCCCTCCTGGTATTTATAAAAATAAAGAGAGAAGATGCGGGAAGTTCACAATGAGCTTCAGAAGAAGAGCGCATACATTGAAGATTTGGAGCCGAAATACAACACAAGCTGTGAGTGTTCCTATTTAAGACATAGCTGCCATCAGCATCTGCATTTCTTCATGTTAAGATCATTCCAGTGAATTAAAATTATTTGATGAGAAATTAATTATGAGAAAATAAGTCTCTGGGGTTCCGATGGTTTGCACTAGCTAAGTATAGTGAGGCAGTATTTGAATGACACATTACGATTTATTGGCATTGCTGCCTTGCAGCATTGGGGCCCTGGTTCAGTTCTGGACCTGGGGCGCTGTCTGCATGGAGTCTGTATGTTCTTCCTGTGTACACGTTTCCTCATAGTGCTCCAGTTTCCTTCCACAGTCCAAAAACACACTGTTAGGTTTATTAGTTTTTGAAACCACTTGACATTTTGAGAGTCTAAACACAATATTCAGATAAACTCTTGAATCTGCACATTCAGAAAATGGTTGAATGAGCAAAAATAGTAGGAGTAAACCATTGTCATTTATAGGTCTGGCTTTTTTGTTTTTCAAAGCATTTCTTGTATTTACTGTTTGCAGAACCTTTCTTTCCTTGTGTTCTCTTCATTTGCCATATATTAAAGTATGTTACTAATGGCTTTTCTGCAATTTTGTTGTAGCAAACTCATAGTGACATTTTTCTTTTATTAATATGATTCCACTTAGTCGTGTTGTGTTAAAACTGATTAAATTTGGTTTTTCTTTGCCTTTTAAAGCTCAAAAGGTTGAAGAACTAGAAGAGGCTTTAAGGAAGAAAGATGAAGAAATGAAGCAAATGGAAGAGAGATATAAGAAATATCTGGAGAAGGCTAAGAGTGTAAGTAGATTTTTTCCCGTTCCTTGAAGGAAGGTGAGTTTAGAATTTTGTGGCTCTTTTTCCTTGTGTGTTTTTATGTGTTTATCTCTCTTAATTACACAGAATAGTAATGTATGTGATGTATAATGTTCTACAGATAGCTGCTGCTTTTTGCCTTGGTGATTTGCCTATTTTTTTTGCAGGTGATTCGAACCTTAGACCCAAAACAAAATCAGGGTTCAGCACCAGAAGTACAGGCTCTCAAGAATCAGCTACAAGAGAGAGAGAGGATGCTCCATTCATTAGAGGTAGATAACGTATTAATCATAATACATAGACTAAATGATCACCGGAAAGGTCGTTCCATTTTATGTTCTTGTGTGTGACTTCCCACGTAAACGCAGAGTAAAGTCATTACAAAGCCAATGTCACTTATTGAAGCCAGCAGCTATATCGCCCTGCAACTCACAACTGGTAGCCCACTGAAGCTTAGTAGGTGTGAGCCTGGTCAGTACCTGGGTGACAGACCTCCTGGGAAAGTTAAGGTCGCTGCTGGAAGAACTATCAGTGGGACAAGCAGTGGACACTCACCCTGCGGTCTGTATGGATCCTAATGCCCCAGCATAGTGACTGGAACACTTTACTGTGAAAAGGCACCGTCCTTCGGATGAGATGTAAAACCAAGGTCCTGAATCTCTGTGGTCATTAAAAATCCCCGTGAGTTTCTCAAAAAGAGTAGGGGTGTAACCCCGGCATCCTGGCCAAATTTCCCATTGGCCCTTACCAATCATGGCTTCCTAATAATCCCTATCTATAAAATATATAAAACTTTTTATTTAAAAAAATCTTTAAAAATATTTCCTAATTTTGACAATTCTAGATACTGTAGATGCTCTCTTTCCACCTCAAAAAGTTAATTTTATCTAAGAGATAGATAATTTACTGTGATAAATTTAATCTGTGATGTCACATTATTAAAATGTCTAAAAATGTCACTAGAAGTCACTAAAATGTTGATGTATGTAACATTAAATAATAGTTAAAATTTCCTCTGTAAGAGTATTTTAGATGAAAGATGGTCAGTTTGAATTGTATTTAGTTTTGCTCTGTCCTCTTGTCACGTGCTTGTTCATATCTCTTCCTTTGTACTAGCAGGAAGGTATTCATTTCTTAGGCTTTAGCTAGTTTAGCTAGCTGAAATCCACAGACAATCACTTAAAGAGTAGCCAGTAGGCTTTTAGTGGTCACCAGTTAGAGATGCATTCTAATAATATTGCTGGTGACGTAAGAATAACTCTTAATTCCTGTTTAAATTTAAATTTAAGATACTACTGTGCAGCAGTTTTATTCAGATGCAAAGTATTTTGTGAACTTCAGCTCTACATATAAAATCATTAGTTGAATAATTTGATATAAATTTTACAATAAAATATATTTTAAGTTATTTGTTCCTGCAGAATTAAACTTGACCCCCTTTTAAGGAAACCCTTTTAAACCTCTAATTTTTATTTTCCCCATAGAAATTTGTGAAGTCTTATATAACAAACCTAAGATTCTATATCCACACTAATGAAGGTGATTCATAATAATATAACCATTCAAACTGGAAAGCTTGAAAAAAAGTTTTGATTTGTAAACGGATTTCAGATTGGGCTTTGTCCGGACAATAAGAAGCACACCCATGCTTATTAGAGCTGTTTTCCTTTTAATGCTTAACAGAAAGAATATGAGAGGACCAAAACTCAGAGAGATCAAGAAGAGAAGCTGATTGTTTCTGCTTGGTATAACATGGTAAGTGCCACTTAGCAAAGTGAGGGGACAGAACAGGCTGAAAGATACCCTGCAGGCCACATCTCATCTCCTCTTTTATAAAGATACAGCTAATTTAGCACTTTCCTTAAAGGAAAATGTCATGTGTTTTTCTGACATTGGTATGTTAGAAAATGGTGTGAAAACATGAACGCTGCAGCACGGCAATGAAAGAGGAACCAGAAGTGCTGCCTCCTCAGATCTTTTAACTTTGTCCAGCAGAGGGAGATAGAAGACCCAAGAATATCCTGGGTGTCTGTTGTGAGTTGATGTGCGCTGCCCTTCCTTCCAGGGTATGACCCTTCAGAAGAAAGCAGCAGAGGATCGGCTTGCCAGCACAGGCTCTGGACAGTCCTTCTTGGCCCGGCAGAGGCAAGCCACCAGCACCAGGAGGTCGTACCCAAGTCATGTCCAACCAGCCACAGCCAGGTAGAGAGAAGGAAACGGGAGACACCAGTCACGCAATCATGTCATTGCACAGTGTAGCAATTCAGGACAGAGAAAATACTCATATTTTGGGTGAACACTAAATACTGTGCATCTTTGAAAAGTACATGTTTCTGTTGCTTATGTTGTACTTCTGAGACCTTTTTTAATATTGTTTGGGGTGCCTCGCTTATTTACATGAATCGTCAGATTTAAGCAGAGATGCCAATCGTTCAGTTTTTCCCACAGCACATCAGTCTTTTCTCTCTTCACTCCCCCTGCTCACAGCTTGTGTTGGCTCTTTCAGTGCTCATATCCATATGCAATAAAATAGGCTGATCTTCAGTTCATTTTATGCAGTAGTAAAGCTTTAATATTTACATTCATTCTATAGGATTAGTTGTTGGCAATTGATTGTGTTTTTATTTAGCAAACCACTTTCTTCAGCTGGTAGCTGCTTACAACAGTTTTGAAAATATGACTCTTTTGGGAGCCAATCCCAGACTTTTGTTTTGTTTGATTAATTTTTTTACATGTTTTCTATGTCATGGTGCCTCAGCGCTTGATGGTCAGTGTGATTTATACAAATTTTAAGCATGTGGGAAAGCAGTAGGTTTTAATCAGTTTCTGTTTTATTTCACAACTGAAGATGGTTACCTCTGAAATGTCAGTATTGATAAACATAATTAGACACAATATTGTGTTTAATCGTAGAAATGATTAAGCTTTTCTGATTATAAAATAAATGTAATGGATGATTCTTTTTATATACTTCAGAGATGCTTGTTAAAGTTAATTTCCACATTTTTTCCTTAATTGTCTAGCATTTTCAAGGCAGTACAGAACCTAAATTGTTAGAGGAGGTGGAAGTAGTGCATTTATCACATTAAAATTTGTTTTAAGCTGAGGATATCATCCTATATCTTGCACAGTAATTAACATTGGAAAGAAATAAGCAACAGGGAAATGTTCAGTGCTTTTAGTTGTGGACATCTTTGATCATCTTTTTTACAGTTTTAGGAAAGGAATAAGCACAAGGACTCTGGAATAGTATTTTACTACCTTTTACTTGTGCTAACAGTAACAGTTGGGAGACATTGTTGGATTATTGTCGAAATCTTTCATAACTATAGTAGAGTGCATCATCACTGACATGTATTCCCAAAGTAATTGGTTAACTAATGCCTAGGTTTGAATTATGCCACCAGTTTTGTGGTTCCACAATCCAGCAGCCTTGTGTATTAAACATTTGTCAATGTGCACCAAGGGCTAGTAACAGAACCATTATTTTGTTGACACATTCAGGAACTATTTCCACATTTTCTTGTTGATTATGTATTAGTGTTAAAATTGTTTTCATAGATCTGTTTATTAGTAGCACCAGTATTGAGTACCTCATTGGCAAATGCCCCTCATCATATCAAGAGTAATCAAGAGCTTCCATTGATCAGTATTACGTTGAGATTAGCATCTCTGCTTAAAAATGCCAAGATTAACTTCAATATAGTGTTGTGGTGATTCCAATAATATTGAAAGACGAAGACAACATGGGTGGGCAGTGTTGGAATTGAATTTTGGGCTTCAGTTGGTCTATAGTTTACAATTTACTCGTTACGATTGTCATTTTTATGTACTAGTAATTCCAATTTCTATGCATCATGACCTATTGGAATGTTGCAGTGTAGCCTTAAATGAAGTGTGACATCAAGCAAACACTCAAAGCATGACAAGCACAGCAATGTCTGGGACATGGACTTAAAATGCTACGTGTCTAAGTTTGCAATGAATTATACATAACACAAAAGAAAGCAATTTTAAGTCGATAAAGAATAATGTATTTTCTGAAGGTGTGCAGTGTGGTTTCCAAGTATCTGCATTTTTCAAACTTTAGATGTTTTTTCCTTAAGTTTAAGTTTCTCTGTTTTTATAATATGCTGGAAAACCTGCATTTTCATATATAATTTGTGTATTGTTTACATATTGATTTCTTCCATGGTGTATGCATTAATTGGGAAGGTATACTTGGTCCCAAAGTCTTGTCACATTAGATTTTTGTGATAGTTCTCTGGTCAATGCTATGTCATCATTAATAAATAATAATCCTCCAGTTTTAAAACTGGACACTATATACAGTATGTTGACCAGTTAAAGTAACACCTGACCAGCTGTTTTTTTATTCGTTTTGTGTTATTAGGCTCCTCTCGCTTTTCGATTCCTAGTTGATTTTATCCAAATCATGGTAATCAGCGGTTGTGCAACATGTTTCCTGCTAAGACTGGGAATGCTATGCATAATCATAGGTAGTAAATGCAACTGATTATATCTTGCAGTTCTGAAACTTCACTATAATTGTAGACCCTTCTTCTGTGTAAGGTTTTACCACCACTATTTTGAACAGCATTAGCATAGTTATTTCTGACATTTATTCCTTACAAGCTTTATCAAAATCCAGTTTTGTGCTACAGAATTCTGGCTCAAAGTGAGCGTCCTGCTTTTTTTCCAATTCTATGTTTAGTATTATTACCACCACCTATCCAAAGAAAGTAGACTAGACTGTTTTGCTTAAATATTTGCACTTCCATCACAAAATGGCACCTGCAATGCAGTACCATTCATCATTTGTGGTAGATAATGTTTTTTATATTGGGCCCATATGTGTAGAAAGCCTTTCTGTAGGCTATGAATGAGCAACTTGTTAACTGCAAGCGTTTAGTTGTCAAATATTGAAGATATTTATGGTGCAGATAATTCAAAAATAGAATAATTAATAAAACAATGTGCATATTAATTTTAAGTTCAGTTTTGGAGTAATCATTATCCTTTAGGTAAGAACATGTTTTGAAATAACTTCCCATGAGATACCGTGCGGCACCAACTGCTCCTGTTCGCCTGTGCAGAAGATTACAAAAGGTCTTCCAGAATATTAAACATTTTTGAGTTAACAGTGCCAAAGGTTTTTTAGATTTTTTAAGTTCAAGTTTTACGTCTTCAATCTTTCAGATGATTCAAAAACTGTTGTTTAGTAAGGGTTATGATTGAGGACTTTATTACAAATTAACTGCAAAGTGTAAAACATTTTTGTAGTGGATTATCATGTACTTTTTCAATACATCAACAGAACAAGTTGCTCTACAATACATGCGCAAGTTCACTTTTTCGAGGGAATTGGCATACACTTTTTAATTAACCAAATTATTTTAAATGATTTCAAGCTGTAGTTGTTTATGATGACCCTACTTCTTTATACCTGTTCAATGTCCATCTGAATTTTGGAAATTCTAATGGCGTGTGTACACATTGTTATAAAATGTACTGATTTTTTTATCAATTGCTAAAAATGTTGTCGCTTGTAATGTCTCTTGATTTTGTCATTCATTGTGAAGTTATTGTCCCTCCTTTTTCAGCAGTTTTTATATAATGTTGTTCTTCTATATTGAGAAGGGCAATGTAGAAACACTCACAATTCACTTGAACTGTTTATTCCCAGATCTTTCCTGTTTGTTTTTTATTTTTGGGGGGAATTTTAAAATAACTGCTATTCTTGTGGTTTATACTGCAGTTCATTCAAATATGGGGAAAACCCCCCAAAAAGGATACATTTTTCTAAACATTTGGAATTAATCATGTTAAACACATTTTGCTTTTTCCAATTCAGTGGTTTCTTTGAATTACATGGCCTTTCCTTATCTGACAGTCTATGGATGATTTGCAGAGGAAAATCTGCTAAAAACAAGCATGATTACAACTTGGTTTCAGTAATGTTGGTCCTTGGACTATCTAAATTTGTAAAACAATGCATCTTATTTTTATCTGTAAATAAATAAGTTGTACCACATAGGTGGTTTCTTGTTATCATAACACTCGAAAAATAATCAGCTAGAAACACATTTTTCTCAACTGCAGTATAGAATCATGCCTTCAGTGCACAAGGCATCTCATTTCACAGTAGCCATACTTCAGCTTGAAGATTACAGTTTGGAAATACTGTTTAGAAAAAATTGCACATTTCATGAATTCTAATGTTGTTGTAGCCTTACATTTTTCCACCAGTTTTAACAGTTTTATTAAATTTCCCTGTGATTATAAACATTTTCCATAATGTCTTTGCTCCATTTCCTTTATTGAATGCAATTTTGACCAGTTGCAGGACTTGGCACTGTAATAGGTTCACTAACAGGATAATACTAACATCTACAGTTCTGATTTGCTTCTCTTTAATTTAATTGTTCTTTGTTCTCATTTGCAGCGATGTGATTGCATGACCTTCAGCATGGGTGATGGTTGCATGACCTGCAGTTGCATGGCGTTTTTGCGCTGAGTCTGCATAACGACTAACCCTGCTCCCAACACAGCCCTCTTAACTCCTAGGGAGAGGTCTCGAAATGAAGAGATTAATGCCTGTCCTAATCATGGACGCTTGCCTGTGCGACTAAAACTGTGCAGTCCTGCCAAGTCTGAGCACAGAGCAAGGGCCAGTGCTCTTGAGAGAAAAAGGCTCACTCTGAGAGCACGTCCTCTGCTGGAAAGGCATGACTTTTTGTCAGTGCTAAAGAGGTTGCTTTTCTCAGCTGGGCTGCTTCTGCATTTTGTTTTCAGCGATTTGCCATTTTTAAAAACAACATTTTGGATAAAAAGGTGGGGCATATAACTTTATTCATTCTTGTACTGGATTTGAAAGCCGTGAAGACTGAACATGGATAAACCCCTCAGTTCTTGAACTCTAAAAATGGGCTGTGTACTGTTGTTACACTTTTCACTGTATGCAAGGCTGCCGAGTTAAATTTTCAGCAAAAATGTTTTGTGTTTTTATTAGTTTTTATTTTTCAGGCGACAGATCCTACTCAAAAGTATTTTAAAATGTTTTGCTCTATTTCAAGATTATAGTTTCCTGTAATTACTGCCTGTAGAAATGGATGAATTCCAGAAGAATGTCCCATCCCCTAATATTCAAATGTTTATTGAAATCTGTATATTTTTTTCTGATTTGTATTTATTTTCAATTTTAAGATCATCTTTGATTATTATTTTGCGTGAAATCATGCTTGTTGGGTGTTTCACACCATGGTAATGTCTTAACAGTGGATTTATAACCCTTATAAAAAAAAGTGAACTAATGGGGAAATTTTGTTTGAACTGCAGCTTAAGTTTAAGGCTTTTGCACAATTATGCCTTTATATTAGTGTAATAACCTTTTTTATTTACACATGCAGTATTGTCCTTACCAATGCATTAAAATGGATATTCTGTCATATATATTTTTAGAATGTGTTTACTAATAGATCAACAACATTTTAACTCATAGACTTTATTGGGGGTTATATTTTTAATGAAAAATGTCATGCTTGACAATAAAGCTTTGTTTGAAATTAACAGCAAATGTGACATATTTAGCTAGTTTAGAAATTCAGGGATTTGTGACACTTTAGGTTATATAGCATGATTTATTCTGTTTCTGATGCTTTCTTCCATTTTCTGAACAACTGCCAAAACCACTTTTCCATCATCTGTTTCAGTAAAGCCAAAGAGTTGAACTGAAATACTATGGAGGTGGCAGTTTTACAAGCATCTCCTTTTTTGTTGCTCTTTTTACAAATGAAGCATTCAGATCTTTTATCTAATGTGCTGTATGGTTGGTTTCTAGCAACAGTGGCAAGTAAGCATTAAAGCAGAATGATGACAATTATTTACCATAACTTCTGTGCTACAGCTTGTCAGCACAGAAATCCTATCTACGAATCATAGGAAATGGTCATTTGTGAGCCTTTTGAAATAATTCAGTTTTTAAATATTGGAAAATGTTTAATAACATTGAGTGCAGAAAGGGATAAATTAAGACTGAGGGAAATGTTGTCAGACAATAATAAAAGAAGGTCTCAACCCCTATCTGTTTGGCAATTTGTGGGTATAATGTATGTAATACAGTATATATGTATACGATACTATCAAACATGCCATATTTATTACATAATGTCTTGCATAATGTTAGTCCCGCAATACCAATGGCACACAAAGATGGGGAGTATTTGATAAGATTAAGTCAAGAATAAATGTTCATCTAAAAGGTCACCATTTAACCCGTCCATCACAGGAATACCCAGCTGTTTTTCTTTGTCTTCTGTATAGACCAGGTAGTCTAACAAAGTGTAAAACAGCGCCTCTTATATTGAATTAATATTTAGCAGGTTGTATGGTTACTATAGGTTTTTTTCATTTCTTTTATAGACCTCCATGTGCTTGTTTTACATTTGCTGAAGAAGCAAGTAACATTTTCCCATCTGCCACATTTTATATTGCTTGTATACATATGTACATATGTGAGAAACATTTGACAAGGAGTTGATTCATATGAAACCATTGTTGAATAGAGGGATTTCACAGTATCTTTCCATTAGAAATCTGTTAATACAATGCTTCCTAAGCTGCAAAATTGTACAGTTGTTACACAAGTTGTAAATAAAGCTTGTATAAAACTCCTGCTGCGTCTGCCTTAATTTCTGGCAATGTTTTTTTTCTAAATTTTATATATCGGCTACTAAGAAAGCTGCTTTGACTTGTTAGTCCACAACGTATGAGGTATTAGTTATGGGGTGATAGTAATTAATTGATCATGTACTAGAGCTTTATATATTCAAGTTGGAAGTTGCATGTTTTATATTAAACATACACAGTATATCATTTTATAATCATATTAATTCTAAAATTGACCAAGTCAGTCTCTGGGATTAAATACATACGATTGTCCACTTTACTTGATGAAGAAAGAATTGAAAACATAAAGGTTGGAGAAATGGGAAGAATTTGGTCACCCTGGCCCATTTAGAAGTAGCATATTGATCCAAGGATCTCATCCAGCTATTTTTTATAAAGAAGCCAAAGTATTGGCTTTAACCACATTTCTTCAGCACCCCAAGAATAGACGAGCGTTTACTGTACAGTGGCTTTGCAAAACTTCTCCAATTATTCCACAAAGGTTTTGGTGAGATCAATGGGTCACAGACGACATGCCGCCAAATACCACTGATTTTTATACTTACATTTTAACTTATTGTAAATTTCAAGTCAGGTACTTACCCCTATACTTAATTTCACTAGCAAACATGTTTTAATTACCCCAAATTAAAATATACAGTGCTGGTCATTCATATTAATCTATTGATCACAAATGTGAATTGCTTTACTGTAAAGCAAAAATAACATTGTTGTTTTGGCTGTTCTAATGTTTTTTTACAAGGAACTTTACATTAAGGTCATGTCTAAAGCATGTTTCTTGATTTATATGTGCTATTTTAACCTGGTATAAAAGTATTAACTTGTGAAGAACATATACTGAATATATTGTGGATTCAGCAACAATTGCTTTCTGTCTTCAGACCTCCTTTAAGCATTTCCAAAACACGGGTGAAAGAATGGCAGCCATTAGGAAGCTGGTTTCTCTTTTACTACCCTGTCTGCTTCTTCAATTCGCAAGGGATGGACTGGGTTTGGTACTCTGTCCAAAAATCATTGTAAAAACACTTAAAGCAATGTTCTTTTCAGTCACGGCGGGCAATTCCAAACTAACCCAAATTCACAATTCAGACATTAACTGAAGTGCTTTTTTGTTCTTGAGGTTAACACTACCATTTGTTTTAGCTTAGTTGTGGTCCAATAGCAACACTATTAGCAACAGACATTTCCTTGTGCCAAAGCCTTCACTAAAGCTCCACAAGAATTCAAAAACCACAGCTTCAGTTTTCTTTTGTTTTTCTTCTCTGTGCATTATATACATGGCAAAGAAATAAAGGGCCATTCAGGTATAGAACCCCCAGCAAACTACATGAATATGAGATGCTGTAACCTGCCATAGTCTGTACAGTACCGTGCATATTTTCTTTTTTTATGCTTGTGGCACTTAAATTTCTTAATGCATCTTGCCCTACAAAAGTATGTACCGTTGTATAGGCAACACCTTGTCTGTCTGTTTTCCTTGTTGTCATCTCTGGAAGAGAGACAGTTTGTTAGCTTGTAGGGATGGGTTGCTCTAGACATCTTTCAGACATATTGAATTATGCAGCTGGTTGACAATTTTGTGCGATAGCATGCACCTAGACCATGCCTTGCTAGTTTCCCAGAGAGGGTAGCCTTTACAGCAATGGATTGTTAGACTGCACAGTTACAGTATATCTAAAAATGTATTCAAGATTCAGCCAGCATGTCAGATTGCTTCATCTTTATCAGTTCATGCTGTAGCTCTGGGTGACCATATGTTGCACTAAGGAGTATTCCCATGCTCCTCACTTGAGGGTAGTTTCACAGCCAGAATTTGTTGTAGGGCAGAAAATCTTGCAGAGGCTGTATAAAGTAAGTAGGAGGAAATCAAACCAAGCTGCAAAAGTCCATGTTCATGAAGAGAGCATGCACACTACACACAAACAGCCAAGTCCAGGATTAAACCTGCAACTTATGGTGGAGTGGTGAGTAAATAAGCATTTATTGACCATAGTGCTGGTGGTGGAGCTGCATTCTGCATTTGACACGCTTGGGCTGGTATGAACAGAATGCCTTTTCCTTATAGATGAGCATTATTTTCATACTGACTCTTGTGTTGGCCATATGTTGTTCTGTCCATTTTCAATGAGAACAATTGTATAAAAGGTTTGTTTGTTTATTCTTCCTTCATTCTTCTACTCGGGTCAACCCTTTGATTTCTAACCCATGCTTTTTCCCACACAGAAATTCCAATCAGCAGATATGCCAGACCACTGCCCTGAAGTGTGGACCCAAGACGTTCGACAATAGGAGGAAGGAGACTGTTATTTCTTCTCTCCCTTAGTGACATTAATATCCCCATTTCAAGGTAGTAAAGGGAGGGGTTGTCTGGTTCCCATCTCCTTCAGTCATTTATACAGTTCTCAGAGGTTTCAGATTACTGTTATCATAACTCACTTAAAACCACTTGTCCATGTCATTAGCCTTTACATTCCGATCTGAGAAAGGGAGTGGCAAGAACTTTTATGTCTATCCTATTCATCAACAGGAAATATAAGATTGTGCAGCACAATGAAGCTGCTTGGCTCACTGGGAAGCACCATCTCTGGAAAAGCTCATTAATAACTTGGGTGTTAAAACACTGTTTTATACCTAAAACATGATTTTACTAAAAATAGACCTTTCAGGTAATATGAAATAAATTGGAATGGTAAGGATAACCATTCTGGTTTCTTTCAAAAATTCAAAGACACGCTGGCAGATTAATTGGTTTCTGGGTAAACTGGCCCTGATGTGAATGTGTGTGTTTTTACCTGTCTGCCCTGCGATGGACTGGAGTCCTGTCTAGGGTGCTACCCTGCCTTGCGCCTGAAGTCTGAAGACACTGAACTCTATTGTTAAGCTGTGGCTCACCTGAGACCCTGTACTGGATTAAAGCAGTAGAAAACAGGTGGATTGACAAGTATGACCAAGGACTGATCAAAAAAATCACAAAGCTCTGAGAACATCAAAGGTCGGATTGAGTGTTCCTAAAAAATGAATCCTACATATACTTAAGTGATTGTCAAAGCCATTTTTCAGAGTTTCTGAACAGTTTTTCACAGTATTCAGCCATCATCAGAAAAGCAAAATAAGTACTGTTCAGTTATTCACTCTTCACTCTTCATTAACATGTTTTGGGAAAGTGCTCTTCCTTTTGAATTTGGAAAATGAGCACCCAATACCGGTTGTGCGTCAAGCAATTTCTAATTTTGTTTTTGTTTTTTAGACTTACTGTTCTGAGACTAGAAGTCAATATCTCCCCACTAGAAATAATTGGATCTCCGACGATTCCACACTAATGTTGTTAATGAACAAAATTGCCACACTGACTAACAGAAGTATTCATACCCTTCCTATGCTGTCCCATTTTGGGAAATTCTAAAATGATGATGCAAATTTATTTAAACTTAGTATTTTATTACACTGAAAACTAAATTAAGTTGGAGACAATTATGTACTGTAATGTAAACTTTTTAATAAAAAAAACTTTTATAAAAGTAAGGAGAAAAACTAAATGTATTTTCTACTGAAAGCAGCTTTGACAGCAATGACGTCCACAAATCTTTTTGGGTAAGTCTCTAAATACTTTACACAAAAGCTGGGTACACTTTGCCCATTCTTCTTGGCAGATTTGCTCAGAATCTCTCAAGTTGCTCAAGGATTGCTTATTAACAGCAGTTTTCAATTCTTCTCGCAGAATCTCAATTTCTCAATTCAAGTCAGGGCTTTGACTTGGCCCTTCAAGGACATTCCCTTTTTCACTCTTAAGTCAATCCAGTGAAGCATTGCCCTTGAGCTTCAGGTTATTGTCCTTCTAAAGGGTACATTTATGTGGCAGTTGTAGGTCTGAAAAATGATTTTGCCTAGGATTTGCCAGTACTTTGCTCCATCTATGTTCCCATCAGTCATAACAAACTTTCAAGTCCCTTATGATGAGAAGCAGAACTAGAACATAACACTGCCACCACCATGCCTAACAGTAGGGATGGTGTTGACTGAATGATGCACAATGTTGGGTCTCTGTATTTAGACCACAGTTTTCCAACTTTGTCTTGTCTGACCACAAAACCATTTGCCACATGTTTGCAGCATTATTTAAGTCTTTTGTTGAAACCCTCATGTGGGATTTGAGATGTTTCTTTTTCAGTTTCATACAAGCCCTCTTTGTGAAGTGACTGGGATATTGTTGACCGATTTACATTTTCCCCCTTCTTGGTCACTGAAGTCTGTAAGTCTTTCAAAGTTGCCAGTGGTCTCACAGTTACGTCTCTTAACTTAGCTTAAGCTTCCTACTTGCCTTGCTGTTAATTCTGGAGAGACTATCTGATCTAGGCAGTGCCTGGGTGCCTTTCACATCTTAATGATCAACTTCACCATGCTTAAAGTGTTTTTATTAACTGTGTATTTTCATCATTGCTGCCCTAGCAGCCAAAATTATCCTGCAACTCACATTTGGCAACCCACTGAAGCTAAGCAGCTGTGAGCCTGGTCAGTACAGACCTACTGGGAAAAACTAAGGTTGCTGCTGCAAGTGGTGTAAGTGGGGCCAGCAGGGGTTTCTCATCCTGCAGTCTCTGTGGGTCCTAATGCCTCAGTATAGTGACTGAGACACTATACTGTAAAAAGGCGCCGTCCTTTAGATGAGACGTAAAACCAAGGTCCTGATTCTCTGTGGTCATTAAAAATCGCAGGGTTTTACCCTGGCGTCCTGACCAAATTTTCCCCTGGCCCTTACCAATCATGGCCTCCTAATAATCCCCATCTCTGAATTGGCTTCATCACTCTGTTCTCCTGATGTGTGGTGAGCGTTCTGGTGCACTATGGCTGCCGTCACATCATCCAGGTGGGTGCTGCAAATTGGTGGTAGTGGAGGGGAGTCCCCATTACCTGTAAAGCGCTTTGAGTGGAGTGATCAGAAAAGTGCTATTTAAGTATAAGGAATTATTATTATTGCACTGTTACA